TTACGCTACACCACACCACACACCACACTACACTACACTAGACTAGACTAGACTAGACTACACTACACTACAGTACGCTACACTACACCACACCACACCACACTACACTACACTGCACTACACTACACTACACTACATTACAATGCACTAACTACACTACACTACACTACACTAATTACACTGCACTACAGTACAGCTATAACTACAACTACAACTACACTGCGCTACACTACACTACACTAATTACACGCACTACATCGCAACTACAACTACACTTCTTTAAACTAGACTACACTACACTATACCACACTACACTACACAACACGCCACCACATTACGCTGCACTACACTACACTAATTACACCACACCACGACTACAATTGCAATTGCGCTTGAAAATATACTAATTACATTACATTACAGCTACAGCTCCACTACGCTACAACTACAACTGCAACTACAACTACAACCACTACACCGCACTACATCCAGCAGCTGTGGTAAGGTGACCGCTGCAACCATTGCAACCATTCCAACCATTCCAAAAAATACAACTCCAACCACCTGTCGGTCCATCAATGGATTCGCTCTGCCATCCGTGATTCACAACAACCAGCCTCTCCTATAGGTTTCCTATTTTTGAAACTTCCGCCCCCGCCTTGTGCAGCACTACCGGTATGGCACGCTTGTATGTATGGTATGGTGTGTTTGTAGGTATGGTATGGTATGGTATGGTATGTTTGTATGTTTGTATGTATGGTATGGCATGGTATGGTATGGTATGATATGGTATGGTATGGTATGCTATGGCATGGTATGATATGGCATGGTATGTTTGTATGTATGGTATGGTATGGTATGGCATGGTATGGTATGGTATGATATGGTATGGTATGGTATGGCATGGTCTGGTATGGTATGGCATGGTATGGTATGGTATGGTATGGTATGGTATGGCATTTAATACATACATTATATAAATAAATCACCAAGCAAATAGGCAATACTTTTTTGATAAAATGCATCAACAAGAAAGTCGGTAGATCAATAAACCAGCTCCATCTATCGTGTGGCTGGGGATCTCTCAGTGTCAGATTGGCATCATTGGGTTGGATGCCAAGGCCAACAATTCCACACGGGGCGCGCTGTGCAGGGCCCCCAGGGGATCCGAGGGGGCAATAGTGGTGCAAAACAAATGTGGTGAACATGTGCTTCTGCATATATATGTAATGCGTATATGTATATATTTCTGTATTAAAACATATATATATATATAATAACAAAAACAACAATATGGCAATAATCATCAAAGAATAACCTAGATATCTATGTGGCACTTATTGGTTGGACATGATTTGGAGATTGATCTGAATTGCTTGCTGAGGGTGCATTCTGTGCACACGGCTTCGAACCAGCGGAGGATCCAGTATGCGAGGAGATGCTGGCTCAACATGGCATGGCCCAACTGCAAAAAATTGTTTGGTTTGTGTCCTTTGTGTTGTCATGCGGTGAATTTATTTAAATGTGAATGTGAAGTGGGTCCCTCAGGATTTGGTTTGTACTGCCCCATGAAGCGCTTGAATTTGCGTCCCACTCAAAACGCCAGTCAGTGTTGTGGTTCCCGGCTGCAGTTTTGCCTGATCAAGCTGGTGAATTGATATCCAGCCTGTCGAATTCCGTAGCCCCGGTAGTGATCAATTCAGCCACAATGATTTGTTGCTGCGAGAGCCCATGGAACGATGAGATGGCCCTAGACATTTCACCCCAGAGAGTGTTAGAAAACTCTGGCGAGCAAGTCTTGCCAGACAAAGTGCCATTGAAAGGTACAACCCTCAGTGTCGAGAGGACAGGCCTCAGTGTGGAGAGTACAGGCCTCAGTGTAGGTCTCACTGCGGACTGGAAATCGAAGAATACTTTGAACGCCGTCAGCTTTGGGGTGGACAAGGAACAATGCTATCTCTTCACCGTTGGCTTGCACAGAGCTCCAGATACCAGCTTCGGTTTGGATCTATCTGCCGCTGGCCGGATTTGCTTAGTAAATGCGGTGGGTGAGAACAGTTTGATCTCAGACTGGAACCGGATGTGGCTTGAGAAAGGTGCCAAGGAACAAACTGTACAGCAATTTGACCGACTGGTTGCCTTGAACACCGAGAGACCTTCAAAAGGAAGAGATATGATGCAGAAGCTTCGCGAAAGCACGGGTCAAGTGAACATCGTGATCCAGCGACCCATCATTCGCAAGATCAACATCAACAAGAAGTTAGGGGAGGAGCTTGGTATAACCATCATTGATGGCTTCACTTTTATGATGGTGGCCTCTATCGCCGAAGGCGTTTTCAAAGACCACAATCACAACGCAGCTCATGCAGAAGATATTATACATCTCCCAACCCTGATCGTAGCAGTTGATGGGATGAGAGGCAATGGCTCTGAACTCTTGAAGTTCATGCGGGAAGCCGAAGGCCCTTTTGAAGTGGAGGTGTTGTACTACGATTGATTTGAGCATGTATGATATTGATCTGAGTCATTCTGAGTCGTCTAAGTTATCTCAGGATTGGCCTGGTCAGTCTTCTCGTTTCACCCACGACCGGGGCTAGGTCTTTGCAGAAAGCTGGAGCTCAACACGACTTGAAAGCTGAAGGCTTCGACAAAAAGCGCAGTGCCGGAAGGGCGCAACGGTTTTTTGCAGAAATGGAGGGGGACACTGATGGGTGACAATGGATATCAATGGATGCAATTTTTTGCGAAACTGGTAAACAGATATAAACACGACATGTGGGACGTGGGATTTGGAAGTCTGCTACACTTTTGGACATGGTGGACTCCACAGGATCCCTGGAATACACAACATGACCCCAATGCCATACAATGCCAGGACGGTGTTCTGGTGCCAGAGGTGCCTGATGCAGCGCCGAGATGTGATGCGATTCGATGTGGTGCGATGTGGTGAATGTTGTGTGTGAATTTGTATGCAAAGTATGTAATGTTGTGTATTGATACGCAATGTATCGTAATGTTATGTAATGTATGTGCGCATCATGTATGACTATGTACGCAATGTCGTGCATGCAAACCTATTCATGTATATAAATGTTTTTGTTTTTTAAAACTGGCATGTATATAGATGAAGGCAAATAGTGCTATGTATTGGTATGTAACGGTATGCAAGGCAATGCAATGCAAGTCAATGTTATGTTATGTACTCATGTCGTGTATACATGCATGCTAGTATATATAATTACACAACATATCCATACACACACATATATGTATATATATATACATGTATTCATATCTATCTCTAATATCCATATCTCTCTCTCTATATACACCCAGGATCCACATCTATATCTATATCTAATAGCTATAGCTATAGCTATATCAATATCTATATCTACATCTATGTCCATATCTATATCCATACCTATATCTATGACTGCTGCAGATGCAAAGACCTGTGCTAGGTCTTTGCCTGCAGACCCTTGCAGAGGTTCACGACAACGCAGGGGCCTTGGTGCAACCATGGCAGCCATGCCCTTGATCCATCTGCCTGGGCTGTTTGGATTGGCCACAGCCTTTTAGCATGCGTAACAATTTGGAATAATGTGGGTAAAACACTGCCATAAACCATCCCCCAAACCACCATAAATAGGTGGTATAAAACCATTCTCAAATGGGTGGTTTATTCTTGTTTTACCCACATCAGATATGCATAGGTCAAACTTCAGCCCCAACCTGAGAGAACTGTGGCCTTCATGCGAGAACTGAGGCAGCGGCAGGCATGGCCCAGTGGTCTTGCCACAAACGGGGTTCCAGTTCTTGCTGTATCCAAATTTTATAATTAGTTGCCACCAAATGAACCTCTCAGGCTGACATAACTTCAGTGACTTGCGTGTCTTGCGTGTCTTGCGTTCCATGTCTACTCAGGATCTGTGGTCACAAGTCACAACATGTACAGGAGCTGCTAAGGTTTGTCTACATGCCAGTTGCCAGTTGCGCAGCTCAAGCTCTGGATCGTTGAGTCTGCCAGACTTTGGCAGCAAAAACTCTTCCTATGTCCCTCGTATATCATATCATTTTAGGCCCTTGAAACTGTCCCTTGGAAACCAAACCACTGAAGCTTTGAAGCTTCGTTTCAGAGGCGGCTCCGTTGTGGTACGTGCGGGGCCTAAGGATGCATGTGAATTGACCTTTCGATCTACGATGAATTTAATTTGTAAAGAGTGGATGTGTCTCCGGTTTGTTGTGCCAGTTCTCTTCCCTGGAAGGGTTGCATGCTACTGCATGCTGAATGAGACATCCCAATGTATAAACATCAAAAAATTGGACTCATCTCTTGACAGCTGCTTCCATTGTAAACCGCACCAAAAACATCCAAAAACCGCCGAAAACATGTGGGCACGGCAAAATTGGATGGTTTAACACAAAACAATATATATATATATATAAAACCCGTATCCTGAAGGGGATGGAGAGAGAGGGAGAGAGAGAGAGAGATGTATCCTTTTGTGTATTTAGTGGGTCCATTGCTACCACCCATTTTTTTGGCCGCACCCACTTTTCTAACGATTTTTGGGATGGAAGATATGGCATTCCACTAGGCTTACGGGTCCTCGTTTGAAAGGTGCTACCGCCTGCCATGTAGCGGTGGCCCAGGAAACTACGAAGCCAATGGTTTTCCTTGGAAATGCAGGCGTACGCGGGTTGGTTTTGCATAGCAAGTGCTTGCGAGCTGCTTCCAGGAGCAGTTTTAAAGGTTGTGCTGGATGGGACATTGCCTTTCCAAATCCAATTGTAATTTCTGGTCAACTACAGCATTCCGATTCATCATTTGCATAGGAGTTTGCAGGTAAAGAGTGAATCCATCCGCAGCAGTATGGTTGAAGGGGGGCGACCCCATGTTCAGAATTGTATAGGCAGGCACAAGATGAAACAAATCAGTGTCATGGGTCAGCACACCAGCTCAAACCCAGAAAGCCCCAGCTCCTTTAGCAACTTGATGTGAGCTTGGCAAATGTGACATGACCTGACAAACCTAGCCAGACCAGTTGAGCATGGCCTGGCGGGCTGTCCAAAGCCATGGGCTGGGAGAAATTGTGCAAGAGAAAAGTTGCTATCGTTTGCGACTCTGATGATGAGAGCACGATCACCACGATCACCACGATCACCTCCAGGGACTGCAAGTGCAAAAAGACCCTGAGCGTTTCAGAGAAAAAAATTGAAATCGAGATCGACAGCGACGATAGCGACGATAGCTTGGAAACATTGGAAACAGTACCGAGAAAAGATCTTGATGAACTCATTGGACCGGACTTTCTGGGTACCCCGAAGTCCAAGAGGTTGCCAGCTCTAAAAGATCCACCTTCCGCGAAGGTACGGTTCCTGAAGCTCAGGCCGGATACACCCGAGAAGCTGCCAACGGTGAAGCAGGTCACTCCAGGTGAACAAATCGAGCCCAACAGCTCTAAACCTGGATCAGATCGGTCAGATCTCCATCCAAAGTCTGGAAAGTCTGAGCGCTTCGTGGAGAAAATCAGGTCGACGATTAAAGATCAGCCCCCTGAAGCTGAAAAATCTGAAAAACCTTTGCCTCCAAAAGCTTCGCCATTGATGTTCCGGCTTGACAACTCCAGGGCATCACTTTTAAAACCAAAGGCACCTCGGAAGTCCAAGCATTTTCCTCACAGAGTTTCAGCTCCACCTCCAGTCCTTGACTGTGATGAGTTGCTGGCCTCAGCCGCCGGGAAACGGCTGGCTGACCCGGCTGTCCCGGCTGTGGCCCCACAGCTGCAACGGCCCGGGGTGGCACTGGTCATCAAGAAGCGCTGGTGTGATGAGATCTTCGAGGGAAGCAAGGTCTGGGAGATTCGAGGAAGTTCTTTGGCGAAGAGAGGCCGCATTTGTATCGCGCAATCGAAGTCGCAAATGCTGGTGGGAGAAGTTCTTGGCTGCAAGCTTGCACCTTTCTTTTTCTTTTTTTGGATTTTCAGCTCCAACATGCTCCAACTGCAATTTTACAAGCCCGAATCTAGTTTAGGGCACTTCCATGTCCTTTTTTTGTTCGATTGTTTCAAGTTTCCCATCCACATCTGAGATCATTTGAGGAGATCATCTACATTTGTCACAATACTTGGCATCACTGTGCAAGGAGATAACCCCAACCGACTGAAACTTCTAGGTTGGGCCGTTGGGCCTTCCCAGTATCTTTGGCCTTCCAGGTTGAGATTGTCAACTGCCTGAAGGTGGGCCGGAAGGTGGATGGCAAGCTGGTCCCCTGGAGCAACAGCCGCCAGGACGTGCAGAACTTCATCGGCGCGCGCGAGAATCTGCCGAAGCATTGCGTAGAAGACCTCAGCTGGGTGCCCTATTCCAAGGCAGGGACAGCGAAGGTCGAAGGTGTGCTTGTGAGGTAAGATTGCAACAATCCAAAGTTTACGATAATTATGATATGAATTGAGCGTGGAAGCCACCTTTACTATGCAAGTGCGCCCCTATTATGGTGATTCGTATTCTTTAGTGCTTGCGCGCGTGAAGGTGTCTCAGGGTCATTGACACTTCCAGCACAGCCCTGTCAAATCTGCAGGTCTTTGCCTGGGTCCTGGACAAGAAGCTCCGCTATGCTGAGCCACAGCCATATCGCCACAAGAAAGGCTGCATCCAGTGGGTGAAGCTGGAGCCTGGCCTCGAGGCCAAGCCCCGGCACAGCTTCGGCGTGCGCCGCAGGTCGCAACTGGGGGCGGCCTCGCGGAGGGCGCGGCCGGTGCAGCCGGTGCAGCCGGTGCAGCCGGTGTTGAGTGCAGTGGCCTTGAGACCAGCCACCAGCAATGAACCTGCCTGGAGGGTTCCAGCAAATGCACATGTCAAATTTCTGGAGGATGATCCAGATCCTCCACACCATGGAGAGCCAATTGACGTGGATTAGTCAATTGGTCACTAAACCATGCACAGGTCATGGTGGGGAAGCATCAAAGATGCATCGTGGACAGGAGCGCGTGCAAGCGTGTTTGTACGTGTGCAAAAGCTTGTGAGTTGACGCAATGCCGCAATGGCCTCATCCCCCCAGTTGCCTGGTTTAGTGTTGGATCCATTCAATTTCGGACCCCTTTGCACAGGATTTCTATGTGTATATATATATACATACATACACATAAAATAATGATGAATAAGTAAATAAACAAATGCACACGCACACACACACATCACACACACACACACGTATATCTATATATATATATATATACATACACATACAAACAAATATAAAGAATATCATAAATACACATACAAAAAAACAAATCAGTAAATAAATAAGTAATTAATTAAACAAATAATTAAATATAAATTTATAAATATACATATATGTATATACATACACTTCAATGAGGGGAACCGATTAGTGGTTGGAATTGCTTGAGGCCCCCCAGTCTCTGGATTGCCCGCAACATTGCCTGGGGCCCGGCCTTTCTCGTATGATGCTTGAGGGAGTGAGAGTGGTTCACTTAGAACTGAATCCATGGCACGAAGCTTCCCTGCTGGTTTTCCGGCTTTTCCTGTATCATTCCTTGTCCAAGCCAAGCTGGCTTGGCCCCGAGGTTGATCTCGGCCCTCGCCGCGGCAATTTTGAGTTGCAGCCTTAATCAGCCAACCTTGGAGACTTTTTTTTGGTTGCCATTCATATCATTCATTATATTATAGATCTTGGATCATCTTGGATCCATGAAGCAGCCTGAAAATTGGCCACTGGCGATTTAGTCTGATCCAAGCAATTTTTGCCCAGATTTGTTTGTAATTACATACCTTTGGCAGTTTTTGGATTCAGTTCGGAGTTGTGTGGCTGATAGTTTTCTGAATTTGCTTGGAGACTTAGGTATCGGTGCATGCACGTTCGTGTCCATTGCAAGAGCCTAAGAGTAATCCCTGGATATCCCTGGCATACATGGAGGATCTAAGTTCAGCCAAGCAACATGCAATGATTCGTGGGATCGTCTGATTTATCTGTGTATGCGGTATGCCCCGGTTTAATGACCCCTCAATGGCGGACCATGAATGACCAGGTGATTGACCAGTGGATTTGCCTTGTCAATGATGATGAATGTTGGCAATATGACAATGCAGGCGAAGAAAAGACAACCCAAGAAGCGTGGACTACTCATTGGCTGGGGCACCTAGATTTTACACAATTGTTGGTTTTCTTGTGTGGCCTCTTGTGGGCTCCCAACTCCAAAGAAACGCAGCAATTGAAAATTGAATATTCTCTAAAGAAAAACTGAGCCTTTATTCCACATTCTTATTCCTTTAATGATTGTTTATGTTTTTTTCCAGACAAATCTCCAAATATTGGGATTTCAAAAAGAAATTTGAGCCGTGCTTTAAGGTGAGTCGCGACGATCCATCTCTACAGACCATAGCGGCCATAGCTCCGAGGGGAGCTACAGGCAGGGAAGGTGGAAACCATTGGATTTGTTGGGATGGAACTGATGGAACCATGATGGAACCATGTAATCTTTTGGATTTTGGTTGGACTTGGATAATTTGGGTTTGGATGGGAACCCAACAGTTCATAGTTTTTATGTTTTGGGTGCTTTTCCCGAGAGCGCCTGAGCGGAATGGTTCTTCTAAGAGTGGAGGTCTGCTATACATCTTCATATGCTCACATCTTCATTGTTCACATCTTCATTGTTCACATTTTCATTGTTCACATCTTCATTAATCTTCATTAATCTTCATTAATCTTCATCGCATCTTCTCATCTTCTCATCTTCAAATCTTCTCATCTTCAAATCTTCTCATCTTCTCTCTCTCTCTCTCTCTGTCTCTCTCTCTCTCTCTCCTTCTCTCTTCTTCTCTCTTCTTCTCTCTCCTTCTCTCTCTCTCTTGCCCTCTGTCACGGTCTCTCTCCTTTTTCTTTTCTCTCTTGATGCCGCAGGCAATGCCGACGAGGCGCCACGAAATGGCCACCCTTTCGCACGAAATGAAGTTAGAGTGTAAAAAACTGACGGTTTTTTGCGAGTTTGGTTGGTCCGGCGGCCACCCTTTCGCATGAAATGAGGTTCGAGTGTCCAAAACTGAGGGTTTTTTGCGAGTTTGGTTGGTCCGGCGGCAACCCTTTCGCATGAAATGAGGTTCGAGTGTCCAAAACTGAGGGTTTTTTGCGAGTTTGGTTGGTCCGGCGGCAACCCTTTCGCATGAAATGAGGTTCGAGTGTCCAAAACTGAGGGTTTTTTGCGAGTTTGGTTGGTCCGGCGGCAACCCTTTCGCACGAAATGAGGTTCGAGTGTCAAAAACTGAGGTAAAATTGCGATATTAGGGTGTCCGCGGTCCTTTCGTTCGAGTGTAGAAGTTGGTGTGTGCGAAAGGGGCGTTTGTGTGTGTAAAAGTGGTGTAAAAGAGTTTGTGTGTAAAAGCGTTTGCGTGTAAACCTGTTTGTAGAAGCGTTGGTGTGTAAAAGCGTTTGTGTGTAGAGGTGTTTTTGCGTACAAGCGTTTTTGTGTAAACATTCTTGTGTGTAAAAGCGATTGTGTGTAAAAGAGTTTGTGTGCGAAAGAGTCTGTGTGTAAAAGTGTCTTTGTGTAAAAGTGTTTCTGTGAAAAAGGGTTGTGTGTAAAAGTGTTTGTATTTTGTGTGTAAAAGAGTTTGTGTGTAAAAGTGTGTGTGTGTAAACGTGTTTGTGTGTAACGGTTCTTGTGCGTAAAAGTGATTGCGTGTAAAAGTGTTTTTGTGCGGTAAAGAATCTCCGTGTAAAATCGCACTTGCGTGTAACGCATGCTTGTATGTAAAATTGTTTGCTCAATTCTTCTTCCTGTGTCTCCTTCGTTTCATCTTTCTTTTCTTTCTCCTTCAATTTCTTCATATGTACTTACTTTTCACAACATTTTACGCATCATCGTATATTTCTATATTTACGTTTTCATGCTATTAGACCTCTCACTATGCTCCTCTACGCTCTCGGGCCATCAGTCGTCTAGTTTGGTTTATGGATGTCGACACATGAAAACATGGGAAAAACGGACCAGGCGCCACCGCAATGGGCGCCCACAAGACCCACAAGAGCACACAAAGATGATTGCCGTTTGTGGGAATGAACATGATGGCTAGTGACTAGTGCATAGATTGGGGGCATGGAAACGAGACACACACACACACAACTTTTCTTTGCTTTGTTGAGTGCTGGCCGCAATCTGGCGCAGATACAGATGACTGTTGGTGAGTGAAGCCATGAGTCACAATGAACAGATGGCAACACCTGCAACTGCTGGAGTTTTCTCCCAGGAGTGGCTCAGACTCTGGCAGCGAGGCGCCGATTTTTCACCCTTAGAGGAGGATCCCAAATTGGACACACGCTGCTGCCCAGATTAATGTCAGTAAAGCGCGTGGGTCCCGTGGCAGGCAGACCTGTCTCCGGTAGAACCTCCCAAGGTGCGGCACCCGCAGGCCTGGTAGAAGCATCCTGCCACCAGAAAATTCTGCAGATGTTTATCAAACTTATCAAACTTTTTGGGCCTCAGGTGTCCAGAGACTGGCGCCAGCCCGCGGCTGCACAGGCCCCGCAGGAGCAGTCCCGGAGGCAGGGGAAATGGTCCATGTTGTCATCTGGCCCACCAGGGGGTCAATGAAGTTTGCCAGTGGATTGAACCATAGCTACAGTATCACAGAAAGAGAGCAGACAGACAGCCAGCCAGACAGACAGACAGATAGATAGATAGATAGATAGACAGGTAGATAGACAGATAGACAGACAGATAGATATGATATACACGTATATATTCATCGAAGGAAGTTTAGAAGTCAAACTTCCGACAATATGGACAGATGAAGCAGCAGATATGGGAAGAGGCAGAGAAGAGAAAGAGACAGAAGGGAAGAAGTCAGAGAAGAGAAAGGCAGAAGAAAGACGATCAAGTTGCGCGAAAAGGTAGACAAGTCGCAAAACACAGTGTTTTTTCCAATGTTTTGTGGCTCCGGAGGGTCGAAAAGTAGGCTCTCGAAAGCGGTGGGTGGGGAGCCGTCTGGGGAGATGAGAGATGAACAATTGCACGCGGTCGCCATGGCGCGAAGCAGATTTCGAAGTCAACGTGTCAAAAAACACCTCAGACTCGGAGCACTTTTAGACGTTCAGATGCTCCAAGAGTGCACGCCGTGGTGGCGCCAAGCACATTTCGAAGTCGCAATGGTAAAAGCACCGCATGTTCGGAGCACTTTTGGAAGCTGAGATGGTCAAAAAGTGGCGGCGTTGTGGCGCGAAGCGTATTTTTACGTCAACTGTGCAAAACGCCTCAGCATCGGAACGCTGGTGGGAGTTGCCAGAGGGGTTGCATTTTGGCCGGCCTTCAGGTTTGGTAAGATGATTTTGCGTGACAGGCGCAGCATTTCGCTTGACCTGGCCTCACTTTTTCGCGGCATGCGCAGTTTACAGAGATGGCGCGGAAAAATCACAAAACGCATTGGTACGAGGCTCTGGGCTCAGCACTCAGCTTTCCATTTTTAAAGGAAGTCTCGCAGAGTTTCTGCATTTTTGATGTCGTCAACTTCCAAATCTGAAGGAAGTCTCCCAGAAAAGCTTAGCTTTTCAGCTTTCAATTTCCAAATTTCAAGGAAGTCTCGCAGAATAGCTTTGTTTTCAAGCTTGCAGATAGACAGGTAGAAAGACAGATAGATGAAAGAGAGATAGATAGACAAATGGATAGAAAGACAGATAGATAGATAGACAGATAGTAGACAGATAGATAGAAAGCCAGATAGACAGACGACGGATGGATGGATGGATGGATGGATGGATGGATGGATGGATGGATGGATGGATGGATGGATGGATGGATGGATGGATGGATGGATGGATGGATGGATGGATGGATGGATGGATGGATGGATGGATGGATGGATGGATGGTAGGTAGATAGACAGATAGACAGATAGACAGATAGACAGATAGACAGACAGACAGACAGACAGACAGATAGATAGATATGTAGATAGATAGATAGATAGATTGCAAGATAGACAGGCAGATAGATAGACATATAGATAAATAAATAATTAGACATATATTTGTAGATAGACAGACAGATAGATAGACAGATAGATAGACAGACAGATAAAAAGACAGCTCGAAAGATAGACAGATAGATAGAAAGACAGATAGAGAGACAGACAGACAGACAGACAGACAGACAGACTGACTGACTGACTGACTGACTGACAGGCTGACTGACAGACAGACAGACAGACAGATAGATAGCCCGACGCTCCAACCACCTCTCAATCCATCAATGGATTCGCTCTGCTATCCATGGTTCACAACAACAAAACTCTCCTATTATAGGTTTCCTATCTTTGAAGCTTGGGGAGAGATAAAATTCATGCAACATCATGCAATTCATTTGAGAAGTTTGCAGTCCCAGTACTGGCAATGGTGATGGGGACGGAAATCGGCCACACTTGCAACCTACGACTTTTCATGACTTTTCGCAATGTGAATGACGGCGAGGCAAGAGGAGGAGATACGAGCGAAGATGCTGGCTGAGGACTGGGGAAACTAGTGTCTGAAATGTTGATCTTTAAAAAGGTATCGAAGCAGCAAAGGAAAGACGGGCACGTATTTTCTGCCCCGCCATTACCGCCATTATCAAATGTGGGAATGGTGCGAATTTTGGGGTTTTGTCCCATTTCATCATGTTTGTCATGCCTTTTTTCAGGAGAGAGAGCGAGAAAAACAAAAACGTGAAGAAAAGAGGCCGGTGCAAGCACAACCAAGTCTACGAAACCGGTCTCAAAAACATGGTCTCAACGACAAAGAGAACATGTCGAACCCATCCAAGAACAGGGGGAATTCCCAAAATCATCAATCATCAACAAAATTATTAATCATCATTAAATATCATTAATAATGAACAATAATCAAATTAATCCACCAGAAAACCCCTACATTTTGACCAAGAACGGGTTCACCGTGACTTATGTTCCAGCTGCAGGCGGCTCTTACAGCTCCAAGAGCAGCCCCAAAATCCCCAACCACCGCAGCCACCGCACCTGGGCTTTGAATGTTCACCCTGTATGCAGTGTCAGCGAGTAACTGCTGCGATGCGGAGTCTTAGTTTGTCATCAGTGCGCAACATGACCAAAAGTCTGATTTGCTCCATCAGAATGAGGCCCAAAGAGAGGATTCTGTGCCTTGGCTCTTTGTGCGGCACAGTGCTCGGGAACACATCTACAGATTGTACAGTAGGTCTTGCTGTCCAGCTACCAAAGCCATTGTTTTCTGTACCTGCTTTTGGGATTTGAAGTTGGAATATGTTGGAGACTTTGTCTGCAGTTTTGGCCCTCGCAGGAGCTGATAAAAAGCAAAGTCACAACATGCATGCAGATTGTCGTTGGGAAAATGCATCTAAATTTCTGGAACACCTTTTCCAACGTAAAGCCAGGCAGGATCTAAACCTGAGTCAACAGCCCCAGAACTCCAAGCAGAATCACTTTCGCTTTTGGCGAGATGCCCCTGCAGCAGCGACAGTGGCTTGATATGCCTGATTCTTTGCTCAAGAAAGTGAGTGCCAGGTGTCATTCGGATTAATGGTTCAATCACACCAAGTGACCAAGCATGAAGCCGGGACATACGCTCTGTTGTGCTGGAACTGGGTGTAGTAGCTTTGTGTATTCGGAGGGTCAGCCATCGAAAATCATCGAGTTTTTGGGGCCCACGTCCCGCTTTAAACATCCCTGCCTGCCATGCGCCCTCGCGTAATGCGCCCTTTTGACTCGGCGCGGCGGAGGGTGGCTGCATTGCGGCCATCGGCGTGCCGACACCTGAGCGGCCAAAGTGCGGCCGCGGGGGTTTGGCCGCGCCGCGCTTTGACAGGCTTGGGAGGTGCAAATGGGTTGGGAATGGTTGGGAGGGTTCGGGCTGGTTGCTGGAAAGCACACATGGCAATGGAAAATCCACGGGCCCCTTGCTTCCATCTACCGTCTTAACAAACCAATTTCCATTGCCAGGATAAACTTGAGTGTGACATTCCGGTGGTCCATGTGACTTTTGACCCGTGCAGGCATAACAACCGCCATTGGCATTGCAACTTTGGTGGATGAAGGCTGGGATTGCAAAAAAGTCAACTGGGATTGTTATCCCAGGGGAGAACCATGACCACGAAAGAAAGTCATCCAATAACTATTCAATGCCCAGTGCCCTTGGTTTGCTAATTTCATCACAGCACATTGGTGTTCTCCAAACAGCCATGTTCATATCTTTCCCTAGTCCTTGACTTTTTCAAATCAATGTTCTGGATGATTTCGGTCCCCCAATTCATGGCCTCAGGCTGCAGACGTTGTGCAGATTTTTGGGTGTGTGTATTGCCCATCTATGCGCAGCTTGACCGCGACTGAAGGCACATCCATTTTTGCATCAACTGTGCGGCAACTGGGTCGCCGTACATTCGAGCTGAGGCACTATAAATTTGTGGACAAAATTTCCCATCCAACCGCTTCCCCGGAGAGATCTGCGGAGTTTGCCGCTTTGGCAACAAATGCTATGCACTTGGGAGCTGGGGAAAAAGGGGGCAAGAATGGGAATTGCAAATTGCTCGCGGTTCTAATGTGCTCTACTGGTACTAAGTATGTTTCTGCGGCCTTTCCCTACCCAGGTTGCGACGCATTTTTGGGTAAACGAGGTAAACGGAGAATAACGCATGCCGGGAATGCGTCAACTGCCCAGCCGAGGAGAGGCTGCATGACATCTATTCCCCCATCGTGAGGGATGCTACTCTGAGACTGCGCGGCTACTACCTGAAAGTCGCTCAATTCTTTTCCATGCCCCTCAACCGCAGATCCGAGCAATCCATATCGATATATAGCCCCACCGGGCCCTGCTCGTATGTATAGCTCTTTCTGGCGAAAATAAAACCGTCGCTGAAACGCTGAGGCGAGACGACTATGTGCCAAAGCAGTATCTGGACTGGGCCAAAAAACTACAGGCAAGTTGCTCCTAATTGGTAGTAGGTATTATGGGTCACTATGGGCCATTGAAAACACCGGAGCATTTGCAAATGTCCTTTAACTAGGACCTGTTTTTCATATTAGTGAGGAAAAACATGGAAAAACGAGGATGTTTCATGATGTTTCAGTCATTGTTATGTAATCCCCATTGACCAAAAAATGCCCATGCCACATCTTGGTTCGACAACCAATAGTACCTATATATACCGATATAAATTAGGCTGTCAACCCTGCTCGCATTGCACTATTTGATTGCCTGAATATCATTGAGTATCACTTATTTGTGTACATTTTATCAAGTACACCCTTGCTCATCATTGCATGTTGCACCCGCCAAACCGAATTCCAAATCACTTGCGGGTGGTTTCACATGTGCTCCCTTTCCAGCCCCTGATCGACTTAGACTTTCGGGACAGGCAGAAGCCCCCGTGGCGTTGGACGCCGAAAGTGCGAAACGCTGCGTCGCCAAAGAGTTAGGGCTAGGCACTGGTTGTCACTGCTTTCATGCGTTTCATAAAGAGTGTCTTGATCGGCTAATTATATAGATTGGCCAGCGGACAGTCACGCCCGACAAGAGAGAGAGAGAGAGAGACTGGCCAGAGAATGACAATTTCTTGAGAAGCGTTGTATTTGCAGGCCGGCACTCGTGTCTCTTTGTTCTTTTCTTTCCCGGGGCAAATTGGCAAACATTGTATTTTCATATATTTTCATGTATTTTCTCAGACATCCTTGCGGCAAGGTCGAGTTGAAGAAGCCTTCAAGGATTGGAGCAGCAAGCCTATTGGCTCTGCTTCAATTGGGCAGGTGCAGTTGTATTGTTTGCTGTGTCGGTTGCTGTTCGAACCTGTGCTGTGCTGACCAACTGGTCTATAGCAAACCCGCGAAGGTATACAAAGCCCGACTTCGGTCCACAGGTGAAGATGTCGCTATCAAGGCACCAGCGTGAGAGTTTCGCCGCCAAACTTTGGAAGATTTACCATGACTCAGTGGCAGGTGCAGATGCCCGGAGCGGAACGGCTCTTTAGGGTGGACATCCGCACGCTGAAGATTTTTACCAGCACCTGGGCCATGGTCGTTTTTGCTTCAACCAAGCCTGGGTCTGGTGGTTCCCTTGTGCTAGAGAGTCCCACCCTGCACCTGCACTGCCTCCTTGCACCGCACCTGGAGCTTGGAAGAGACATGAAAGAAGCCAGATACTGTTCCCAATTTCTCTTCCAATTTCATTCAAACCTGTATGTAGATCCTTAGATTTTAGGTCTGTACAAGCGACTCGCTGCCTGGTACCCATTGAAAGGGGATCTTTCACCCTGGTGCCAAGGACTTGCTTTTCCCTGGGCGGTTGACCATATCAGCGAGCTGGACACTGGGCTAGCTGCGTTTTTCTATGGTTTTTTCTGTTGTGCATTCCCGTCCGCTCCGGCCGCCGCAAAGGCATTTAGATCAAACAAATTGTGGAAAAGCTTTGTTTGTAAAAGCTTTTGTGTCTGAACACTTCTCTGTGTAAACGCGTTTGTGTGTAAAAACTCCTTGGTGTAAAGACTTCTCTGTGTAAAAGCTTCAGTGTCTAAAAACTTCTCTGTGTAAAGGTTTCTGTGTGTAAAAACTCTTCTGTGTAAAGACTTCTCTGGGTTAAAACTTCTGTGTAAAAACTTTATCAATCATCATGCGTTAAGAACTTCATTCATCATTCATTATCCGTATTTATCCGTCATCATCATTCATCATCCGCCATCTTCATACTTTCTTTTCCATCCTCTTTTGATCTACTCCCTCCTGCTTTTCTTTCGGGCCACACTGTCGTTTAGTATTTGTGGATATTTGTCCCAGTTACGTGAAGGCCCCAAACTGACTGGTTAACTGCTGAGGAAAAAATGTTTGAATCCGAGTTTGATTACACCTTAGAGCGGGAGAACATGGAGAAGGTCCGCACCAATGTGGCGCAACGCTGGGGTGATCGCCGGGTGCTTATTTGGACATATTTGGACACACGATAGGACATGACTGGATGCTGACAAGACATGCAGAGCAAACCTGAAGTATTCATTTAGAACCACCCCCCAAAAACACTTGTCCTGGCGCACATGAATACTTTCTTCCGGTTTAAGTTTCCTTGTTGGATTTTTGGAGTAGTATGGTATCTGGAACCCTTGCTGCCTACGACCATTAACTCATGGGAGCGCAAAACTGTCTCCAAGGTGTCATCATTCCAAAGACCTTCCCAGAGCTTTGTACCAGAAGAGTCCTTTGTATGGCACCTTGGACTCAACGCCAGTTGGTGCTGGTGGAAGATCTTGCTGACAACTACAGGTATGAAGCATCATGAAGCTATACTGGGTTGACCATCAATTCCAGACCTGCATATGCGTTCGCGGAGGTACGTGTAGGCATTCACTAACACAACAAATTCAAGACCCAGAAAGATAGAAAGATCTGCGCACATGTGACTAATTGTGATTACATGTGTGCTTTGTGCTATATGTATCCACATATGTCCACATACTAGTATCATGCCAAAATGCTGGTTCAGACAAATTCATCCAACTGACCATCAGAACAAAGCCTTCTTAGGTGCCAAAATGCTTTGGTGATGTTTGCTTTGGCATTCGCTGGTCGTTTCGCCATGGGTTTCACCATGGCTTTCCCCGCTTCGCCTGCCGGCCCAGCAATTCCTCGACGGGGAGAAGCTGGTCGACGGCATGCTGCGGCGCGTCCGCAGTGCTGCGATGCAAGCAGGCCGCGACCCGGATGAGCGCCGTGGCAGCACGGTGGAGCTTGCGTTTCCATCAGCCGATCCGATGGACAGGTCACCTATGGATACCTATGGGACAGAATGGAGAATGGGTGGATGATGGATGCATCCAATTTATCATATTTATCCATCAACAGCTATTGTCAGGTCATTATTCTTATCATTTCTTATCTGTTTTTGGATCTGTTGGTCACCAGGCCCAGATCCATTTCAAGCCAACGACAGCACCAGGTTCCTATCGCATCACCTGGAAGCATTACGCACGGGCAAGCTCATGCCGCGCACCGCCGGGAGCCGCAGATACATGCTGCGAGAGGTGTTTGTTCCCATTTCTCGGGAATATATATATATATATATATCATATTTGATAGTTATAATATATATATATATATACCATATTTGATAGTTATATATATATATATCATATTTGATGGTTATAATATATATATATTATATATACCATATTTGATAGTAATAACATTAACATATATACATATATATGCACATACACAGACAGACAAACAGACAGACACACAGACACACTCACGCACGCACGCACGCACACATAATATAATTACACATGAATGAACATATACAGGATACATCTCACTTTGTTGATGCCTTTGTGCGATAGATAGATAGATAGATAGATAGGCAGGCAGGCAGGCAGGTAGGTAGATTGATCACAATATAATTGCTCTTTACTTTAAAGCGATTTTGCTGTTTGAAAGCTTCATAATTTTGGTCCATACCTTTCCCCCATCTTTTAGGCGCGCTCTGCCCGCTGGCGTGCGAGTGTTTGGAAGATGATGCAACGCGTGCGTGGAGCAGATGATATCAATTTGCCGGCGCTGATGGAGCAGTCACTGGATACCGTAGATGATGGGGCAAACTGGGTTGGCTCTGGCAAAAATGACAGTCACCCTCAGATTGCGAAAAGGGTAGTCAACGCAATTTGGATGCTCAGAAAAGTTCTTCACCAAGATTTGTGCAACTCTGTGTTGATGCTGAAGCTTTGGGCATTTGCATAGGAAGATCAGAAGACGGTTTCTTTGCGCAATGTTTTTCAAGTCCGTTGTCAGACGTCAACTTTGTTACAGTCAATCGAGGCTCATGCGGATCCACGGAGAACAAGTCTTTGTGGATGGGCTTTTCAATGCTGATCCCCACCCCGGCAATGTCATGCTGCTCCATGGCGCGCAGAGCGATGGAGTTGGCTTGATCGACTTCGGTCAAGTCAAGGAACGCTAGGGCCGCTAGGGCCACCAGGGTATCTGCAGGTGTGCCTGAAAATGATAGATTTACTGTAACATACTGTAAAATGATTTAACTAATTTAGCCCCCAAATAGCTATTTTAAGAAGGAACCTGATCCATGGGAATTGAGAGCGCTCTATTTTCAGACGAATTCGTGTGAGACTTCATCAAATGTGTTTTAGTTTTCTGTTCTGGCCCAACAAGCAAGGTCTCAGAATCAATTTGTTTCTTGCTTTGGGACATCGCATCTGACATGTAGCATCTCTTTTTGGAGCTGATTGTCTCCGTGAAGGTTGACCATACTATTTATGTTTATCACGTCACAAAGGATTACATATTATATCCACAAGCACGGAAATGACTTACCCGCATATCCATACTCTACATCCCTACTGTAAGAAGAAATGCACATGTATCCTTCGTTCGGCTTTCGACATTTTCTTCCCCTCCATTCCCTACATTTTGCAGATTCCCATGGCACCCATGGCGCGCAGGAGTTGTCCCTGGACTTCCGGGTGCAACTGGCCAAGCTGATCATCGCCTTGTCTCGCCGCGATGAGGCCGAAGTTGTGCGATTGGACAAGGTCGGGGCTGGGGATGGTCCCTTGATGTCCCAAATGTCATCCACAACTGGATTTCTATTCATTTTCCATGATGATCAATGATGTTCCATTGCCATGTTGGATCAAAAATGATCGAACTGATTGAACATCTCTTTCTTTCCCTGTCCCGAACCCCAACGCTACGAGCCCAAATCAATGCTTGTATCATGACGCCTTAGGATTTCGATTCAGGAATCGGTTTGAGGGAAATTCCATAGGGTAAAAGACATTGATATACCAGGCATTACCAGGCCAGGGTTGCCCCAACCCATTAAACATTGGTAAAACATTGGTAAATGATAGCCACAATTGGGGTACCTGGGGTCAGGAGATGGGCAGTCGCACCCAGCTGGGCAAGGCTGACGTGAGGCGGAATCAAACATGCTGGCCGGGAATTTCCCATAAACATGATAACGGCGGGAACATCATCTATAAGTCGAGGTTTGAATGGAAAATCCTCTTAATTCCTCTTATAAATGGAGATATTTCCAATAGACAGATTTATAAAACATATAAATGGGCTATTTTTCCATTGCCATTGCTTGATTGCCAGAGGGAGATCCTCAAATGGCCCTTTTTATGGTACCAAACCAGGGGAGAATGGGCTACCAGCCAGTTGCTTTGGTGAGACATCCTACTTGTTCGTCCCAAATGCTGATGGTCATGGTTTGGCGTTGCATTCAGAATGGAAGTGCACTTTGGGTGAATTCTTCTGAGACGATCCCTCAACTTGGTCCTTTCCCGAAATTTCACAACATCTGGTTATAAAGAGTGCATATTGCCATTATTGCATTTTTACAAATACATTTTACTAGCTTCAGAGGTCGTAACTTCAGAGGTCCCCAACATATTCCACCAATTTCCAGGTATCGGGTGGTGACCTTCTGGTTGGACCGGGACACGGATGACGTCACCAGCGGCCAATCCTTCCACGACTTTCTGGCCTGGGCCGAAGAGGAAGATCCCCTGGTGGAGATGCCAAGGGATCTGCATTTGGCACCTCCGCAGCACTCGGCTGGCAACATGAAAAATATCCCGAACAATGAGTAGGGAAATGATGGAAATGTAAGAATCCAGGTTGATTGGGGGATATTCACCATACGATCCACATTTTTCCCCACATTTTCCGCACATGTTTATGTGAAACAACTTGACATAACTTGACAGAAGGTTTTTTTTTGGGGTTACCCCTAGGTCATGGGGTACCCCCAAATCATCCATCTTCACTAGGCTTTTCCCATTAATTTTTATTATAGACCATCTATTTTTGGGTACCCTCTGGTGAACTAACAGTTTGCAATGGAAAGATCCACCATTTTTCATGGGAAAATCCACTATAAATGGCCATTTTCAATAGCAAACTGTTAGTTCACCAGAGGGTACCCAGCCGAGGTCATGAGATGTTCCTGTATGATCCGAAACCTGGCCCTGAGCTTCGGCATTCGTCTCTCCACCTCGGAGCCGTGGCATTTCGTTGGGGACCCATGGGACTTATCAACTGGTGTATACACGTAGGTGAATATACTGTACATAAGCAAATAAAAACATGTATATATATATAATATATATAAATTGCTAACATATGTGAAGCATGTGTGAAAGACGTGTGAAATATATGTGAAAGAAAGAAAGAAAGAAAGAAAGAAAGAAAGAAAGAAAGAAAGAAAGAAAGAAAGAGAAAGAAAGAAAGAAAGAAAGAAAGAGAAAGAAGGAAAGAAAGAAAGAAAGAAAGAAAGACAGAAAGACAGAAAGAAAGAAAGAATGAATGAATGAATGAAAGAATGAATGAAAAAATGAAAGAATGAATGAAAGAATGAAAGAATGAACGAAAGAACGAAAGAACGAAAGAAAGAAAGATAAATCGATCGATAGACAGAGGGATAGAGAGATAGAGAGATAGAGAGATAGAGAGATAGAGAGATAGAGAGATAGATAGATAGATAGATAGAGATAGAGATAGAGATAGAGATAGATAGATAGACAGACAGACAGACAGACAGATAGATAGATAGATAGATTGGAAATATATAGATAGATAGAGATGGAACGATAGAGATAGATAGAGACAGATCGATAGATAGATAGAGACAGATCGATAGATAGATAGAGACAGATCGATAGATAGATGGATGGATGGATGGATAGATAAATTAGATAGAAAGATAGATAGATAGATAGATAGATAGAAAGATAGATAGATAGATAGATAAATAGATAGATAGATAGATAGATGCATAGAGAGAAGTTTTATGTACAGGCTGATTGCTTATTGATAAGCCATGACCTCACTTTGGTACCTGCAGATCTCATATATATGCACATGGCATCTGCCTACGGACGTGTGGTGCTCCAAACAAGCGGAAAACTTGCGTTTTACGGCTCGACCTGCAGAGATCCAAGCGAAGCTTACACAGCCGAGGACTACTGGAAACCCGAAGCCGAAGCCTTGCTCAGGAAACATGGCGTCGAGTACTGATGGATGCCGGCTTGTGGCGTTTCCCACCGCTTGAGGGCATGCAGCTGCAGACACATGACATCTTTTAGGTTCAGAAACTCTGCATCTTAGACCAGGAAGACGAAGACATGGATCACGACAAGGAGCAAAAATAAAGAAAAGGAGAAGAAGAAAACGTTCAAACATGTTCTGAATGATTGGGCCTGTCCTGACCAAAATCGTAAGTTTGGAATTCCCTTGGACGATCACACACACAACAATATAATACAATATATATATATACACTATACATGCTGAATTTTCAAAATTCTTCGTTCCCAACGTTGCACCGCAAGCAGTCGTGTGGGTGGCAGAGTCATGTGTCCAGAAGCGTGCTTGACGCTGGCTTTGCAGCGCCATTTGAGTTTCATCAATTCAAGGTTCCAGTGGAATTAGGGTTGCGGACGGCGTGAAGCTTGTACAGCTAGCTTGGCCAATCTAAGTTTTAAGCAGATTAGCCCTGGGACGTGACTTTAAAAAATGTTTCGTCTCGCTGCTGTGTCAATATCAGGGTAGCTGCCGGCTACGTCTTCATCCTCAAATCTGAAACCATTGCCATCTATTGCGAATGGTCCACAGATTTTCTGGTAAGGCGCAAGGGTTCTGATTTGGGATGTTGTCAAAGTGATCCACCAGACCGTTCTACATAAAGGACCTGATCTCCTAGCTGGCATCTATCGACATGTCCACTGCTCTCACAGGAAGAGCAGCATAGCTAGACGTTTCATGAGGACTGTCAAGTACCTCAGCACAATTCCACCCAATTTCCTGTGAAAAGTGGCATTTCTCATAGAATCTATCCAGCAACAAATGAAGTACAGATTCATGTGGAGGCTTGGCGCTGATGCCTGGCGTAGCTTCAAATGGCTTGACAATCCCGCACTGTAGATGGATCCACGGAATCTCCAGCAATTCATTCCTGAGGGGCAATGGTTGAAGTAGATGCAAGCTATTCAATTCAAAAGAATGGCGAAGTGATTGGAGCTGGCCGCAAATCTCACCGCACCATTCACTGCTTTGCGACCGTGAACTTCTTGAAGTTCTTGAATTCATTGGCTCCCATCGCAAGCTGTTTCTAATGTTGCCTTCAACGTAACAGCAGATGTCTCCATTGGTCCATGGTGCTATGCCAGGGGGAGCTCCTATCGAAGTGGCCCAGTGTGCACATCTCAGAGTCATCCGTTGTTGATGGTTGTTGGTGGTTGGTCACCTCTGGGGAGGTTGGTTGAATCGTTGTGAAGATTCTGGTGATTGTGAATGCCTGGCAGGAGACAGCTACGACGTTGCACAATTTGTTCACCGTTGTATCAAATACAAGGCAGCTATGCCCTACCCTGATTTGACACCACTTGTCCTTGCACACGCCATACCCTGTATGACGCAGTAAGGCAAGCCCTGCTTTGAGGAAGTGCCGTAACGAAAGATCAGACTTCTGCCTATACTGCCGCTCAAGAAGGGGTCTTAGTAAGTCATTTACCTAGAGTTGGTTGGTTCCACGCATCCAAAGTGGATCAAAGTGGCTTATGAGGGCCATGTCTCTCTCTCTCTCTCTCTTGTTCTCTCCCTCTCTCTCTATCTCTATAACTCTCTATTTGCATTTATCTATCTATATGTTCAAGTATATGTGTATATGCTGTACATATCTCTACATGTGTATGTGGAAATTTGTTGCATGCACATATTTGAGTATAAACAACATAATATATTAATATAATCACAACATATATGCACATGCGTTTGTAGGTATGCGTTGTGCGTATTTGCTAGCTAGTTACCAGCAGAACCGAGGCCAGCGCCGAAGCGTGCGCCTTCGTCTGGCAGGCGCTACGCAGAGGACGCCGACAAAAAAAGGGGAATTGCCGCACCACATCCACAACTACTCCCAGTTGTGAGGTCTATTATGGTTACTAAGCCAAATCCATCCAAATTCCAAGCCTTACCTGGTTCCTGAAGTTCTTCACACATGGCGAATTGCGTTTTCAAGAGGTTAGCCAGCTACAGTACATTTCTGGTACATTTGTAGACAGGGTAGGAACCATGGTTCTAAAAAGTTATAACTGTTACCCAAGGACAAGGGGGATTACCCTGTTGTGTGTTTTTGTTTGCCAATTGGTTGCGATCTCTGGAATGGTTCCGCCACAGAGTGGGGTGTAATGGAATCATCGAAGGAAGTTTAGAA